GGCTGACAGACTGATATATCACTGCAGAGGATAGTAAAGGCTGACAGACTGATATATCACTGCAGAGGATAGTAAAGGCTGACAGACTGATATATCACGCAGAGAATAGTAAAGGCTGACAGACCGATATATCACTGCAGAGGATAGTAAAGGCTAACAGACTGATATATCACTGCAGAGGATAGTAAAGGCTGACAGACTAATATATCACTGCAGAGGATAGTAAAGGCTGACAGACTGATATATCACTGCAGAGGATAGTAAAGGCTGACAGACTGATATATCACTGTAGAGAATGGTAAAGGCTGACAGACTGATATATCACTGCAGAGGATAGTAAAGGCTGACAGACTGATATATCACTGTAGAGAATAGAAAAGGCTGACAGACTGATATATCACTGCAGAGGAAAGAGAAATTCTTCAGTGGGAAATAATAAGCGTCATATCTGAACCGACTTGTATTATCTATTGATGTAGGTAAACGCTCAAGTATGAAGCAGACTTGTTTGTGTCAGTGATATATATACATGTATATATATAGTTTTCTAGACATGAATAATTTTGTTAATTATAATGAAAATGTTTAAGGTTCGACAGAAGCTTCTTGGTCATAATGGTGATCGTGAAATTGCATGAGAGGGAACTTTTTTGATTATTTTTTACCCCCTGTATTTCATTGATAATGGACTTATAGATTTATTTAGTTAACATTTATATTCAGTCTAGCGTAACATTTTTGAAATATCAATTGTATTCTTAAACTTTCATGGAATGTCGAAAAACATTTACAGGAGCTAATTCACAACTTAATAGAATCATGTGCAAAACAGTGTAGCCGAGACCATTGATTGGCGCGCTAAAATATCCCATTGACTGGGTCAGATTAGGTGAACGTTCGTCTGTAACGCCCACAACTCACGACGTATTTATTATAAACATTTAAACTGTGGGGTTGCCAAAGGGTCTCAGTATATATACGAACTACAGTGCACAGTATATTATATACATATTTTATTTGCGATCATAAAATGTACGAAGTCGTCCGTTACTATGTAAATTGGGTCGATTAAAAAAAAAGCTGAATATGTTTCTGTTGCCAAGGGTTTTTCACAAGTATAGTAGTTAGCAGAAAAGATCATCAAACTATACATTGTATACCGAACTGCGGCCAAGCTTAGCGAAAGGTCGTGCAACATAATCAGTCAAACAAACGTTATTAGATTAACTCGTTAAGGAACGATCGTTTTCATTGGTCAATTCAAACCTTCGACCTCACACCTGCGAAAATAGAACACGCGTACTATAAAGCTGAATGGACTGATCAGTATTCACGTAGCCGGTCAAGGTCGTTAAAAACTTCCATCGTCGTATTCACGTACATGATTGTGTTCTTGATTATCCCATGGCAATTCTAGCTTTTATACATGTGCATGTAAAATTTTAAACTTTAATCTTAACAGTCACGTCGAAATATTTAATTCAACTGTCTCCTCTCAATTGGTTCTGGATTAAGGGAGCTACCATTTTATTTTGATTGGGGGTGGGGGACTTGGATGAAACATTTTGTCCTGCATTTTTTTTAGTTGTTATCTCTGTCCTGTCTTTCTATTTTTCAGTCTGTTAGGTCCTGACTATTTATTAGTTTATCCTGATTTTTTTACATAAATCGTCATCCTGCCTTTTTTTTTGTCAAGTTGCTCACCCTGCCTTATCTTTTATTTAATGGACTTGATGAATTAACGTTGTACTTGAAATGAAACCGTACTTAACTACAAAAATAACCAAATTACATACTAAAGATATTGCTCGATTTTTATAGTAAATGGGTTTGTGTTATAAACTGTCATGTTCATTATTCATATTCTTTCATAAGTTTTAGGATAGTGTGATTTTTTTTCTGATTTAGTTTATTTGATTTTGAAAAAAAAAATCCCGAAATTCTAAGTAAATTCAGAACATGTAACCAGCCATGCTTTGTTTAGAGAAAAAATGGAGATGGCAAACCATGGCACAGTGGAAGGAAATGTACTTTATAAACTCCAGCGATATACTTTCTTAATTTATAATTAACTGTTTTGCTATCCTCGGTTGAAAATTATATATTGTAAATATTTAAATAGTTGCATAGAAAACAATCAGTTTTAAACAGTATGGTTATTCACTAAATGTATTGATAAAAGGTGACTCCATTTTTGTACATACTTTTACAGTAGTCATCCTTAATTTCTTAATATTTCGTTTATAAGTTTATCATACATGTATGATTTTGTATTTCATTTTAATACGCACGCATGCCACACGTTACTTTGGCGGATAGTTCAACAATGTTATGCAAAGCTCTATTCTTACGGTATGAAATTAAAGGATAAATTTTCAACCAATTAAAATCGAAAACAGTACATTTATATAGTTCCTTATAAACTACGACATTTCTCACAAGTATTTATTTATTTTTTAGTTCCACACATGCAAAAATAAAATCTTCGCCGATGAAACATTTCAAACCTTTTTACACCAACATGCCTTCACTGAATTCATTTGAATTTCGTGATGACCATGATAGTACATTGCATAGTACATCTTTATTCACGTGCACACATGATACGATCTTTCGGGGACAATTTGCTCGTTTATGACACGTCATTTCTGAATGACCAAACGCTTAGCTACTTTATTTTCGTTTTATAGCATGAAAAAAATAAAAGAGGAATGTGCAACCCATCATAAATTTGAAATGGATCAGTATTATGAGATCCTTATTATAAGTAACTACGACATTGTCAGGATAATAACCTAGCGTCAATATGAAAGAAATTAAAGTGGTTCATACATTCATCCGTATAAAAGCGGCACATGTATTTTATTTTATCCTTATATTTTTCATAGTGCGGTACAAGTGCTGCATGCATAAAGAATATTACTTAACACAAATTATTAGTATAATATTTCGACCCCACTATTTGAAATTCACAAAATACTTATTTAATTATTTCGACCAAAAATCATTGTTTTTTTACGTTCGTAGTAACGTAGTACATTCCATTGTCGGTCACCTGTGTCAATTCACGTGCACACTACAATTGTTGTTGTATTTAAATCTTTCGGCCAATGAAATGAGACGTTACAAGTTGTTTGTTTGTGATACGCCAGAATGTTATCAATGAATTATCAATCGCTAAACTTGACTGTACCTATTCAAAAACGTAAATGCAAATTTCACAAGGCTTGATCCAAATAGCCTTTTTACTGTCTAATAACTTGCAAGTACGAAAAAGACAGGAAAGAAGTATATTTTGTCTATATGTTTTGTGTTTGCACACTTTTTAAAGTTGATCATGCATTCGTTCTAAAATAAAATTTTGACCAGATAAAAGTTAAAAGATGACATAATTGGACAACCGCAATTGTTAAATCGCTTTGACGTCCGAAAAAAAGATAATAATCAACACATCCATTGTAACTTTTAAAGCCAGTTAAATCCTTTTTTGCTGAAAGAACGTCCGATATCATAAAAATTCATTATCAAAACATAACAAAAACACAAGTAAAGAACGTTTAAGTATTCAATATAAATCAAAACACAAAGGTTATTCCTGATTAGTTTTTCGAATTATTTTATTTAGGCGTTGAGACCCTTTGGTGAACCCACAGTTTAAATGTCTATAATAAATACGTCGTGAGTTGTGGGCGTTACAGACGAACGTTCACCTAATCTGACCCGGTCAATTGAATATTTTAGCGCGCCAATCAATGGTCTCGGCTACACTGTTTTGCACATGGTTCTAGATACCTTTTCAGTATTGAATTAGTTTTTATTTGATTTAACATTTAGATAGTCTGTGAGTAAAGTTTTCTAGCCATCACTTACTTTGTCAAACCTTCGTGTAGCCTTCATAACCAAGATTTGTTTTCCTTTTTTCTGTATTTTACTGAAAAATGGACTTTTAAATCAATATTTATTTATCTCAGAATTACACTTTTACATTCATAGATACTACACCTTGTAAGACACATGGTTTTACGATTTTCTTTTTTACAATTTCACAACTTTTTTATTTTTCATTTTTTGCAGATTTTGATGATGGGGTTAATTTTTAAGGTGTGTGTGTGTTTGGGGGGGGGGGGGGGGGGGGGTTCAGTTACCCAAAAACTAGATCTTACATACACTAGTACATTGTTTTAAGGATATAACTAAAAACCAAGATACAAACTTTTTATCAATTTTATTAAAGGTAAGGAGGTTTTAAATTTGACGAGGTGGGCAGTGTAGACCAAGACAATAATTATGCATCATCTCAAACATCGTCGAGACATTAATTGTATAGATATAAATATTTGGTTTGACCTTTGAGATGCATAAGAGCTAATTTTACACGAAAGCTCCGATAGCCTTCTGTTCTCGTTGTTTGCTATCTGGGGAGGGAAATGATAACATCATATGCAAATATCTCGATGAATAATAAACATAAAACATCGTATATTTGTATGTATAATTTTAACGAATAATTTCTTTAAATAATAACCTCCCCAAACTTTCTGCTTTATTAAAAAGAATGGGCTTTTGGGATGATAAACAAATATGAACACATGATATAATTCGTGGAGACAGATTCATCAAATCATATTGATTCAATATTACTTCCCCTAAGGCCTTGTTGTGATGCTATTACTTTCTTTTTGCTTTACTTGTGTTAACATTGTAAATCATATTTTGATTGTATTGTGTTTTCTTCTCCTTTGGCGCCCAAATAAAAGTTTTCGTATCCGTATTTTTTTTACGTGAATAGACCACCGTAAGTTCATGACATATCAAAATGACTATTTCAAAAAGTTTTCGATATTTATGAGATAACTGTATTGTATTTTAAGCTTTGCATTCTTAAAACGTATATTTTATGGTCGCAAATTGAGTTTACATATCGACGAGTAGTGTCACTACTTAACACCTCAGATTTTCGCGGAATTTTCGACGTCATAATATTTTACACCGAGGCGATAAACAATTCATTTGCTTGTAATAATGGACAGCGAAGGACCATTTCTTAAACCAGAAAACATTCGCATAAGATATCGAGACCTTGGTGACGATGACAGTAATTCATACTTCCTAGCAAGTACAAAACTTCGACCGTATGTGGGGGAAGAAATTTATGTTGATCCGAAGAAATATTCTAAAGTAGACAGCAATGACGTTGACGATGATTTGTTAAACAAATTCATAGAGAGGGTTTTGTTATCTGTGGCGATGAAGGAGGCAGGCGAGGATGACTTTGGGGATTGTAAGTATCGGGGAAAAACTAGAGTATACGGGACAAATAGTGTGCAGGCGTATGACAGCACGGACGAACATATATGCTAAATATATAATTCTTAGGTAACTGAACAGAATAGGAAAATCAACATCACAACACACACTAAAATTCCAAATATGAACCCCTGAAAGCTATGGAAAGGTGATAAAGACGACCATTGTTCTTACTGAAATATGCAAACTTAATTACTAAGTAAATACTGACCGTTTAGAGAGTACGAAAATAAGTCCGTCTAAGCGCCAAGTTAAATGCTGTATTCAAATATTTTAAATTATCTACATACACCAGGGTCCGAGGAAAGGTGGGAGGCTAATAGTAGTAAAATAAAGTAAAAGAAGGCCAAATAATTTTTACGATCATAGGGGGATGTGTACGCCCTCTATGTCCCCAATTTGAATCCGCCACTGAATCCTTTCTTTTCTTTACATTTTATTGTGATTATTCACAAACCACATGTATGTACAGGATGTCGTCTATATAGTTGGCGATATCTGCAAATCACAAAAAGACAATATAATATGAAACTGTATCCACTCGTCTTAAATCGTTTTCAACCTATTTTACAAAACGTAACAAAGTATAAATTAATGCGATCTTTCATATCTTATTCAGCAAAATTAGAAAATGAACCCGGAATTTCTCCTTCTAAACGGAGAGCAACAAATATAAGTAAGGAACGAAGTTTAAAGCAAAGGCGTCAAGACAAAAAGAATAAAAAGGGCAGAAAAACAGAGAAAAGAGAAGAAGACGTTCCATGCGAAGCAGTTCCAGAAGTGAACAATGTTACACAGTCTACAGAGCGAAATATTACGCTGCCACTGGGCGAATTTAGGTTGAACAGAAATTAAAATGATTTAAAAACAATTTTAATGATAAAAATATATATTTTACTGCTCTAGACTTTTACAAAAGACCGAAGCAGCATCTGCATATGGAATATGTATCACCCAGTTTATACGATATTCAAGGGCTTGCGTATTCTGTCATGGTTTCCTTAAACTAGGATTGCTTTTAGCAAGGAAGCTATCGAATAAAGGGTTTCAAATGGTGACTTAAAGTCACCCCTACGAAGGTTTTACGGACGCCATCATGATTTGGTTTGACCGTTATAGAATATTTGTGTCACAGATGACCTGTGATATGTTCGACTTGTCATAATCAATACCACTTATTCTTTACCTCGATAATGACATCACCGAAATTATAGTTTGAATGTGCAACATGACAGGTGCACCTATTGTGAAGTAGGATTTGTCTATCCCATCCAAAGCACATGAGTTCATTTAGTTTTCTTTGTAGTGTTTTATGGACTGTTGCGGGACTTTTCGTCTTTTATCTATTTCAAATTTTTGTATCTTCTCATAATTTTAATACAACAACAGCAAACACAACCACAGCAACATCAGCGAGATTATCATTTAACGAAAATGGTATTTGGAGTTAACAATATCAAGATTTGTTTTTAATTCAGAAAATTGCGGGAAAGATTAATTTCATCACTGAGATAAAGAACTTAAAACGTACACCAAGATCTAAAAGCTTAGAAGTTCAACTGTTCCACCGAATTCATTCATGACAACATACAACCACTGCAAATCACTTTTAGGTGCATATATACAAGCGTTCTCTACTGTTATTTGACACGATCGTGTTTAAACAACAAAAGTTCTAAGATAATCACATGGATATCAAAACAATTTTAAGAAGACTTGTTATAGAAATTCATTTTTGTTGTTGAAAATGTCAATCAAATACAGACAAATTGACCTATTAATTAAAAAAAAAACGTTGCTGAAAATAAGGTTTAGAAATGTAGATTTCCATTGCAATTGTCTCTCAAAATCGTCCATAAATGTAAAAATATGAGGAGTACACGTCAAACATATGGAAAAGCTTCACTATGCCGACATAGAATAAGACAATTCTGCTTATAAACTGGAGAAAAGGGATTGGAAAAGTCATATTCTGGGAAATAGTTATATAAAAGACAAAATGATTATAATGTTGTTCCTACTACCTGTCTTTAGCCTGTTATGTATAGACAGCTATAAAGTTGATATAACTCTGTGCCTTTTAGGAAAATGGTAAACGCCGAAATAGAATCAAGAGCAGGTCGTATCCATGCATACTACCAGAAGCAATGGGATCATTTACAACAAGACCGAATGGCAGCCTACAGGTCATGTATTTTGTGGAAAGGTTAGTTTTATATAAAATGTAGTTCTTCAAATGAAAAATTGTTAAAATATACACCACTGCATGTATAAATTTATTGGAATTGGTACTAAGGACACTGTATAAATGTACAATAATTTGGAAACTGACTTCGTGATCTCGTGTTAGCATGGTTGTAATGACGGAGGATAAGAAGTTATCAAGGAGGCAATAAAAAACCATAAGACAGATTCCATGGCCAAATGTAGGAAATAACCCCATAAAACAGATCCCATGGCCAAATGTAATGGAAAAAAAACATAAAAACCATAAGACAGATTCCATGGCCAAATGTAAGGGCAAAAAAACATAAAAACCATAAGACAGATTCCATGGCCAAATGTAAGGGAAAAAAACCATAAGACAGATTCCACAGCCAAATGTAAGGGAAAAAAAACATAAAAACCATAAGACAGATTCCATGGCCAAATGTTAGGAAAAAAAACCATAAAAACCATAAGACAGATTCCATGGCCAAATGTAGGAAAAAAACCCATAAAACAGATCCCATGGCCAAATGTAATGGAAAAAAAACATAAAAACCATAAGACAGATTCCATGGCCAAATGTAAGGGAAAAAAAACATAAAAACCATAAGACAGATTCCATGGCCAAATGTAAGGGAAAAACCATAAGACAGATTCCATGGCCAAATGTAAGGGAAAAAAACCATAAAAACCATAAAACAGATTCCATGGCCAAATGTAAGGGAAAAAAACCATAAAAACCATAAGACAGATTCCATGGCCAAATGTAAGGGAAAAAAAACACAAAAACCATAAGACAGATTCCATGGCCAAATGTAAGGGAAAAAAAACATAAAAACCATAAGACAGATTCCATGGCCAAATGTAGGATAAAAAACCATAAGACAGATTCCATGGCCAAATGTAAGGGAAAAAAACACAAAAACCATAAGACAGATTCCATGGCCAAATGAAAGGGAAAAAACCATAAGACAGATTCCATGGCCAAATGTAAGGGAAAAAAAACACAAAAACCATAAGACAGATTCCATGGCCAAATCTAAGGGAAAAAAACATAAAAACCATAAGACAGATTCCATGGCCAAATGTAAGGGACAAAAACATAAAAACCATAAGACAGATTCCATGGCCAAATGAAAGGGAAAAAAAACATAAAAACCATAAGACAGATTCCATGACCAAATGAAAGGGAAAAATACCATAAGACAGATTCCATGGCCAAATGAAAGGGAAAAAACCATAAGACAGATTCCATGGCCAAATGAAAGGGAAAAAAAAAACCCCACAAAAACCATAAGACAGATTGCATGGCCAAATGTAGGAAAAAAACCCATAAAACAGATTCCATGGCCAAATGAAAGAAAAAGCCCATAAAAAACATAAGACACATTCCATGGCCAAATGAAAGAAAAAAGCCCTTAAAAAAATCCATAAGACAGATTCCATGGCCAAATGAAATGAAAACAACCCATAAAAACTTTAAGACAGATTCCATGGTCAATGAAAGAAAAAACCCACAAAAAAACCATAAGACAGATTCCATGGCCAAATGAAAGGAAAAAACCCATAAAAAACCATAAGACTTATTCCATGGCCAAATGAAAGAAAAAAAACCCATAAAAAACCATAAGAGAGATTCCATGGCCAAATGAAAGGAAAAAACCCATAAAAAACCATAAGACAGATTTCATAGCCAAATGAAAGAAAAAAAAACCCATAAAAAACTTAAACACCACGATGAAAAACAAAAGACTGAGTAACACAATACTCACAAAAAACACCGGTGTTCAACTAATAATATCACAGTTAAAAATGCATTATTATTTTTTGTCTGTAGAGGACTGTAATAAAGCAGAGTATATGTATTTGAAAGTAGAAACAGAGCTCAACAAATTACAGACTGCATACGACTCTCTACAGACGGAGGTAAGCATTACCGAGTATTGGAGTCCTTGGTTTATTGAACACAAAAATGTATGGCAAATTCCCACTGTATTTGCTTAATTCAAATGGAATTTGAATATCAGTATTAGTTTTAAATGGGTCTAAAATTATATATTTGACAAACGCTTTTCAGCAATTTAACATATATTTGACGTGTCTTCAACAAAGTTTTTGCAAATTGGGTACTGTCATTAATGAGGAACAAAGTTAAAACGAATCAACTGTTTCATTATTCCAATCAGGGTCCCACAGGGGGCATTTACAATTAACAATTATAATTAGATATGACAATAAAAGCAACAAACATGAGACATTGTACAGCATATAATGTGACAGATATCATTATAGACACATGAAAATAACATAAATAATAAAATACATTAGAAGTACTCTTGAATATTTTTCCCTTGATTATTTCCATGTCCAGCAGTGCACTATGTGTTCACATCAGCACAATTATCATTTAAGATGTATAAGGTTAAGATATATAGTTTGTTCATCTGCAGGAGACACCAAGGGACGATGCTTATGGATATACTATTGTGATAGCTGCAACAGTAATCTTCCTCGTGTCAAAAGCAGAGGAACAAGTTAATCATATAACAAACAAAAACAAAAAAGAAATTGAACATACTTAAATTATTATCTGTTAAGATTGATATTTGTTCATCTGCAGGGTGAATCGGGTGTCTTCCTCCTATTCCCACTTTTTAAAAATAACTATTCCTTCTATTCCCACATGCAAATAACAATAGATGTTTTGATAAATAATTTGTTTTTATAACAATCAAGGTTAATTAAAAATTCACCTAAGATTTACCTGTATATTTCTTACACTGTTTAAGTATATTATTTTAAAAAAAATAAAAATTAATACACTGTTTATTTGTAAAATGTTTTTTTTCTTCTTCAAAGAATTACCTTAAAATAAAGAATAAGTCAGATAAACAGAAGTAATATAAGTCAGATTAAAAAATCATTGAATTTGTAAACCTAAATAGTTGTCATCCGAACCAGTTTTACCAAAAAAACGTTGATAAAAAATCATCATAGAGGGTATTTGGACACGTACTACCAAAGGTGACCAATTCTTGCTAACACTAAACAGACGACAACACAGTTGCAATTGGGTGTGCATTAAATCTTCAGAACTCGAAGGAATCTAACACATTAGCAGCAGCAGATATAATATACTAGTATGGTAAAAGTACATTTTACTCCTGTCCAAGCCTATTTTTCAAACTTTACACATTTCACGCAATGGTTGGCGGCGCAATGTATCCACTGGTACACAGTTTACTTCCAGCCAAGAGCGAACTAGCATACACAAGGTTCCCGACTTTACTCAAAGATGTATGTCACCAACACTAACTACAACTTCAGCCTACCATTATCTTCCTGGACTATGATTCATGAAGTCGTCATCCAAAATGCAGCATATTATGTATTTTCTTACATCAACGCAAACCACTGTTTTTTTCCACTACACACAATGCATCTGGAGAAAAGCACAAGGAACAGGGATTCAGGTTCCATACAAGAAAGACAACAACATTCATCAACTAGTACGCCGTGCCGCTGTCCTTCCACATGTACTTACTGCTGAGGTTGAAGATGTGTGGTTTAATGCCCTAGTCGATATAGATCAGATTGATACTAACATCAACTACACGCCCTTTACAGACTATGTAACAAAACACTGATTGGAAAATTACACAACACAGGGACTGCGGACTACATATCATCTAAAGGGATGGCAAAGCAAGCGGAAGAAACATTCCAGAACCCACATCCAAACGTCTTTAAAGTCATAAAACTACTGAAACATGAGGAAGCTACGCCCTGACCATGATCCAGTATGCAGCCGGTAGGAAGAGAGTGGCCCAAAAACGAAAGTATGTCAAAATCAACAACAGATTAGAAGAGCTTATGGATAGATACCTCAACCAGGAAGTCACAACATTACAGTTTGGTGATACAGCCTCCCACCTTATTCACGTTGAATAGATTAATAAACTTTGATAGACTAATATACAGTGAATTTCTAATGTGTGTGCTACAATGTATGATTTGTTTTAGTGCTTTTAACTTGTATTGTTTGTTTCATATTATAATGCTTGATTGACTCTACTGCAGAATTTGTGTTATAAAAGAAATAGAATAATTTACTACATTTGTTTCCATTTCTTTCATATTTATTTAAATTAAAAACACAGAATTCATACACATACAAAAATAACCTATTACCTATAAAAAAAAAACGCTGGTTAATTAAAAGTTGATTACACAATGTTTATACAGTATAATCCTTTGTTTGCACAAGTTTTCCTCCTATTCCCACATGAAATTTTAACTTTTCTTACCAGATTTTAAAAAAGTGGGAATAGGAGGAATGAACCATCTGCAGAAGCCACTAAGGGACGGTGCCTTAGGGTGTACTGTTGATTGCGATAGGCAGTAACAGCAATCCTCCCCGTGTCAGAAGCAGATGAAAAAAATAAATAGAGAAATTGAATCTGGTCATGTTTATCAGTGAGGTGAGGTTTTTTTTTTGTTCCGTTTGAAGGCCTCACCGTGACTTTGAGATGAAGAACAGCAATAAAAGCCCTATATCCTTTGTTTTTCTATTAATATTTTTTCGTTTTGCTAATTACGCAACGTTACCCATCATCGTGCTCTCAGTCTTATCACTAAATACAAAAAATTCCACGTGACCAGTTCAAGGTGCTTTGTATCTCATTGTTCACATAATATATAACATTAATATAAAACATTTACTACACCAGATGCGTATTACGACAATTAATTTCCCGTGAAGCTCGAGGCCAAATATTTGAAAGTTCAAAACCTAATACAAACGTTGAACAGGTAATAAAATGAAAATATTTTTTTCAACAATAACCGTTGTTTCAACTTTCCGATATTCCGTTTTTTAGTTGTCAAAACTATTTTCCAATATATAAATAAATTCATAGAAATTTTATTTTCGGAAAAATGGAATTTGAAAAAAAATGTTAACTTTATATAAATAGGTAAGCTATTCATAGTTTTGCTCAATGTATATCTTACAGAAAAAATATTATTGAGCCAAATGATGTTTGCGCAAAAATAACGGGAAGAATTCTATTTGTTTTGTTGTAGATGACAAGTATCAAGGATGCTAAACGTAAGCGTCGCATTGCCGCCAAGACGCGTAGGAGCAACAAAGACAGAAATAATAACGACAACGACGAGAACATACCATACATGGGACCGAATTCAGTCTAATGATTTTTGTCACTCGTTCTTTGAAGAGAAAATCAACTGTTTAACATAATTGACAAGAATGTTTAGTTTGATTTTTTATATACAAACGGTTTCATGAATCCAAAAGTCAGCCCTCAAAATAAAACAGTAACCTCTATATGATAGAAATCTATACGGTAATCATTGATTTCAAAATGGTTATGTTTGATCCAGTGTCCTATGTTAAATGGCTGCCCCTAAATGTGATTACGCTCAATGTGCGGATATGCATTTTAGAACTATCCAGAAGAAGTCAATAATAGGATCAAATAGGTGTGATATGCTTGCCAATGAGACAACTGTCAACCGAAGGCCAAAGGACTCTGGTGCACTAGCCCACTTTTCCATATTGAAAGGGTATGTTTTGACTTATAAAAGCCATTTGGGGACATTTCGGTTGCTGTACACTGAGACTTTTAAATTCTCTTATAACTAGGCTATACTGATCAAACAATTTCCGTCTGGATTGATATTCTGCACAATCTAATTAAAATGAAATCCTTTAATTGCTCTCGTTCTGATGTGCCGCGCATGATGCGATTTAATTTTAATTAGATTGTATTCTGCACAATCAAAATGGATGGTTATTCTCCAAATCCAGAAAACATTTGATTTAACGAAAGATATAAATGTATATCGTTGATGGATTTTTTTTTTACTTTTTCATCTTTCTGTATTTTTTCTCAATTATGATACTTGGAAAATTGCTGCACCAGAACCATTTGTTTTGCATTAAGTCGACTCGATATAGAGGTATACCCGTAACACTGTTGACAACCGTGGTACTTTTGTTGTTAATACTACTGAATCATTTACCTTTAACTTGTTTGTCGTCGGCTATCGATAACAAAGATTTTACGCTCACGCAGTCTGACAGAGGCCCTCCAGTGGGGATTTAGATAAACATTTGTTACACATTTCGATACGTAAAATGAAGTTGTTGATCAAAACATAAAAAAACGCAAGTAAAGAATGTTTAAGTATTCAATATTAATCAAATCACAAAGGTTGTTTCTGTACTAGTTTTTCGAATTATTTGAGTCCGGCGTTGAGAACGTTTGTTGACCCCACAGTTTAAATGTCTATAATAAATACGACGTGATAAGTGGGCGTTATAGACGAACGTTCATCTAACTTAACCCAGTCAATGGAAGACTTGAGCGCGCCAAAAAATGGACTCGTCCACACTGTTATGAAAAATGTACTTTAACCATTTAAGGTGGTACCCAACACCTTGACTAATATTAATTTGGCTCGTTTAATTTTCATAAAATTTTGACAAAATGTTTACTTTGACTCTTTGACAAAAATATAAAAAATTCAAAAAATTTCAACCAACCACTTTATCAGAAAAATTTCATTGGTTATATAGCAGTTTGACAAACACTAATTTTGATCATTGAGAAGCTTAATATTTCCTTAACAATACAACGTGATTAAAACGTCTAGCTGATTTTTACAGAGTTATCTCCCTGTAGTGTTAGGTACCACCTTAACAACAATAAATAAATATTTATGTTAACAATATTGTGGGTTTAAACAAAGAACATATGAAATGCTGCTTTAAGAGTAAGGAATCCTCTTGACTGCAGATTGAGGTATCCAAACAAATGATTAAATTCTGGTCCCTGTGACAGTTTTTGAATTCAAATTTGTGCATCAGCTTCCTCGTTTTAACTATTGCCTCTTTGGTTGAACATTGAGGGAATAGGAGATAAAAAAAGAGAAGGCTTGAGATCTAAAAAAAGTGTTTTACCCACCACATGTTCTTGCATGTTACTGTCCAAAGTAAGAAACATTGAAGGTGTTATCTTATGTCATATCTTAATGTTTTTTTTTTTGCATTTGGGGGAATTTGGTGTTGATAGCTTGATAGTCTATATATGCTAAATTTATTCCAACCATTTTTACATTCGATGCGATTGACATATATAATAAACCTGTCTATTGTTGAAGGCCGTATGTTGACCATCATATGTCCTTTGTTACTGTTTTTATGTTGTTGGGTTTATGACGTATACCTCATATATGGGCGTTTTTCAATAAAAGTGTGAATTTCAGACCTAAAAAAAAAATGGAAAATCAACTTGTCTAAAATTTTATTTCAAGAGTTATTTTGAAAACCTCTATTATAGACCTGTTTGTAAATAAAAAGTGCAATCTTAAATACTCTTCAAAATGATATTTTTTTTCATAATTTATGTACTGTTTCGTAGGGGACATTTGTCCACTACGAAACTGCTTCTAAACGCACATCGTATGACATTTTAATGTCTCCTATTGACATTCCAGTTTGTTTTACTTTATATACTAGAAAGATCTAATTTTTTCTGAATTGGAGAACCATTCTTTTATCGATAAAAATTAGACAGTACTTCACATATGAAGGTACAACTCATGTTACGTAGTGGACATTTTGATGAGTTTCGTGGTTGACAAAACCTTTTCGTAGTGGACAAAAAGTTTCGTAGTTGACATCAACCCTATTCTATGTTGATAAAAACATACTGAAAATTACATGAAATTAACCCTTGTTATTTGTTTTGCACGAATATAATTGAAAAAAAAGTAAAAAACGACTGCATGGTAGTGGTAGTGTCCACTACGAAACGTTTTTCTCTCATACTTGTTTCGTAGTTGACCATTACGTAGTGGACATATTCACATGTTTTATTTTTTCCCCACAATCCCTATATTGTAATAGTAACAAAAATGATTCTATTCATCAAAGCACATACAAAGCTGTACACTGATATTTTTTTCATAATTTTAAAACCAGATACTGAAGGAGATTTGACCCGTTTCGTAGTGGACATTAAAAAAAATACGGTATCACTCTGGTCCATTTGATTTGATTTGAATTTTTTTTGCCAACAATTTAACTGCCGTTATAAAAGCATCACTTCTATTGTAAGACCCTAATGTTTATATATCTTGCAAACATTAATTTTATAAAACTGTTTATTCGCAAAATGTAATGACTTCGTTTCGTAGTGGACATTTTGTCAGGAATTTCAGGGACACACCTTCTAAAATTAAAAATCCTTTGTCAAAAACTGTTTATTAAAATATGTTGGCTCTAAACATACTTTTGAATAATTAAAGAACTTATATTAAGTAAAAATAACATTTATTTCTACCTTTTATTACAATATTTTAGAGTATGAATGTTGAATAGGACATGCCATTTTAATTATTTTGAACCATTCAGGAATCAATATCTTATTAATCCCTCTAAAAAATAGTATGTTTCTTTGCTTAAAAATGTTATATTTAATTAAATGTACTGACTGCACAAAAAATTACTTGTAAAGATCAAATGCATTTTTTAAAAAGTGGCTGGGACAAGAAATCACGTTTTTATTGAAAAACGCCCATATCCCTTTATTCGTGCTCAAAATACATTTTAACTGCAGTTGAACATTGCAAACAGAAAGATTGGTTTAATTTTGTTTATACTTAACGTCAAGTAGCAAATATTGCATGCATGTTCAGAACGAGAAAAAATTAGCAAAGAATACAATAGACTGGATTTGCAAGGTAGGGCCGATCGCGACCCGCATGGAGGGCGAGAAATTTTGACTTCCACAAATTATGGTATTTAGGATAGGGGTAGACATTTTGCCTTGCATCAGGCCACCTACCGACTCATCAGAGGGTTCTTTAACGTGTACAGAGCGTGGTACTCTTTCTACACGAGGCATCGGATTTAACGTCCCCATTTTGACCGGACGTGGCTGTGTACATCCCGAAAAGCGAACGCACCACTTTAGCAAGGGTTTTACTGTCGTAAAATAGAAGCCAAAGAGATGACAATAAATGTATACATCGGTAAACCCTTAAGGTGACACAGAAGGAAGTGTATACAGTAAACAGATTGTATAATATGTGAGTGGATCTGTAATAATGATAAGAATTGAGTCATTACAGTGTGAATCTGAGGAGTTGTGTTCCAAATACAAATCCATAGAAAATTACAATATAATCAATGTTGACGAAAGGAAGTGTGGGCATACGACAACAACAACTCAAAACAAAAACAAGAACACAATCACATCATTTTAGGGGTATTGATTGTTAGTTAATAACTGTTTGTGTGACGTCCAGTGGCAAAAATTTAAACCCAATTATTAATAAATCAACTAGAATTTTTACCTATATTTTACAAAAAGATAATATCAGGGTGTACAGAATTTAACAACGGTGAATTTATATCTTAAGAAGCCGTTCCTTTAATGATTTTTATACCGGGGAATTTAATTGAAAAATTCTTATGAAGAACTTCTACCACACTTTTTTTTTCAACACCAATGTTACTGCGCATTATTAAATATAATCTTCCTTTTTTATTAGGAATTTGGGATAAAAAACGTGCGTCGATAGTTACGCGAGTTATCTCCCCTACTCTAAGAATGGAAAAATGGGCACATGAAAGAGGAATGACTTCGTGCGGTCTATCATGAATCCAAACAAGTATTCCTGTGCTATCTCAAAACTTCAAAGAAATTATTAGAGTGACTCCAATCAGAAATCTGAGTATCCTATTGTGAGTTAGTCTGACTCTATTACCAATGTTTTTGTTTTAGACACGCAGGTGCAGGTACACAATACGTCTCGTGTTTATTTCAACAGAAAGTAAAAACGCTTAAACAAACTTATAACCAAATAAACAAATAAACCAGTGACAATTCTGCTTCTAGTCGTATCAAACTCGTTAAAATCAAACCAGAATTGACCCCACAATATTTTTGAAAAACCATAGTTTTGAATGAAATTCACAGTGTAGCGTAAAATTGTAAGGTAGCTGGTGTGTCTAAATGTTCGACGACAGATTATTTCTAAACTTCTGTACAAGAATTCTCGGTCAATGTAATTTCAAATTTCAGTATAAAAACTGGGGATCACGGACCTTGTTTTTTCGTAATAATACATTGAAATTAACGAAATTTGGGGTATTTTATTTTGTTTATATAGGGTAAACTTTTCCCCTACATAAACAATTTTTCCTTATTGAGGAAACATTAAACGATAGAATTGGCTAAAATTCGATGAGAGAATTGCTTTTTATTAATACTGAAATATCAAAAAAATAATAGGGGTCAC